CCATACTAGATATTGCCTGATAGCAGTTCAAAGAGGAGTGGTATTAATTTTGCGTCGAAGTTGCATAATCGTATATTTACCTATTTTCCTCCTCAGTAAACTTCTCCGCCAGCACCATAGTAGAGTGCACGCAGGCCTCCCTATAGAAAAAAAGGACAATATAAAGACATATTTCGAGGGGAAATATTTTAGTCAACTTTTCACAACAACATCTTTTCCAATAGCATCTGAGGCTAAACTCCCTTTCCACGATAGGGACCCGGAATAGATTCCGCTACAACTATCACAGGCTGGGCTACTTCAAGAACCGCTACTACAACAAGCAATCGAGACACGACTGCAAACTGAGCATAGACCACCGTTACGACATCGGACGCAATACCATGCGTATGATAACCAGACCTAATGCGGTTCGCACGGCCAAACACACGAAAAAGCTACACCAACAGCAAATTCCACCGTAAACTCCAGCACCAGCAATTGTTTAATGATGATCTACATGACGACATTAAATTAAACTCATCAACTTTCAAGTAAACCGGGTATAAAATTAATTTTGTTGGTATTTCATTAGAGCCATGGGTAAAATGGTAACAAAATGGGTAAAAAATTAATTTGACCTGAAATCGCTGTAGTATTCCCATATGATGATTCCACTACGACCGAGAATTTCGAAAAAGATGGTATGAATAACTAATATACCAATAATAAAAATACTACCGTATAGAATCTTGTACATCATCAGTAGCCTGTGCCCGATGAATTCCCAATAGCTCTGCTATGATAGCTGCCTTGTCAACCACTTGAAATAAGTACCTAAATGATCCCAATCCCAATCCAGCTGGAACATAACCCTACCTAGTCTGTTGTGCTGCGGCCCTCCGTACCATAGGCGTATCATCATTGACAAGGACAGCGAATAGCCGTCTAATCTCAGCCTTCTGCGGATCAGAGCAGTGACAGTATAGGCCTGGATAGACGATTTGACGATGGAGTGGTATGGATAATTACTCACCAGGAGCCAGACTACACACACTAACCCTTGCAGTAAACCATTCACCCGCTGCTAACCTGAACAACTTCATCATTCCTATGAGAGTATCCAATTTCCCATTACCTGACTAGTGCTGGGAAGCAGTATTGTTGGCATATACTCTCGCTCTTCTCAGCAATTTTTACGAGGCCAGCAACCGCAGCATTCCTGATGACAGTCTCGTCCTGTCTGGCAAGGCACTCCAGTGGAGGAACGAGAGCCTGTTGTTGATGATATGATGGAGGAGGTAGAGGAAGAAGGACTCTACCTCATAATGGCCGTCCACGTGGCTTATGAGGTTGGGCATACTCAGCGCCAAGGCATATAGGACCTGCAGGAGGCCGTTGATAGTATGACTACTACTCCTACTACTATTGATAGTATGACTACTACTCCTACTACTATTGATAGTATGACTACTACTCCTACTACTATTGATAGTATGACTACTACTCCTACTACTATTGATAGTATGACTACTACTCCTACTACTATTGATAGTATGACTACTACTCCTACTACTATTGATAGTATGACTACTACTCCTACTACTATTGATAGTATGACTACTACTCCTACTACTATTGATAGTATGACTACTACTCCTACTACTATTGATAGTATGACTACTACTCCTACTACTATTGATAGTATGACTACTACTCCTACTACTATTGATAGTATGACTACTACTCCTACTAGGCTCCAACACTACTACCTCGTCATCATCATAGCATATCCCTTTAGCCTGTATAGCATCCATTATTAGTGGTATCTGATCCAAAACCTCCCCTTCGAGTAGAGCCTTTCTATGTTCTTACCAACATCGATACGGTCTTCTGAGGTCCGATATGACTTGCTATAAGATGCACCCTTCTGGCGCACTTAGCCCTTTCACAGGAGTCTTCATTCTGCAATTCCTCCTTGAAAAATTCTACTGCATCAAAATTAGGGTCGATCTGAACTGCTGGAGTGGCAGCAGTAGCAGCAGCGGCGGCGGTCGGCGTTCTCTCCTGGGGCACGACAGAGTTCTCCATGACCTCTTCTGGTGTGGTTGAAGGAGAGTCCGTAGTGGAAGTAGCAGGCTTGTTGCCTGTATCGAGAGGCACTGCTGATGCCATTGACTACT